TATAGCTGATGTATGTGGTGTATTCCATGTTGTTCCCAAATTCTATAATTAAAGTGCGGGATCATGGAGGTTAGGGCAGATATTGGCATTGCTCTAGAGTGTGGGACTTGTGAGCAGCAAATTTGTTTATTCTTGTCCCATATGTGTAGTGTCACGTCTGTGGTTGGCAATATATTGGCGTCCTTAGGTCTGCCGTGTTTAGGTGACCAAATTAGGGATATAAGGGCGTGTGGGTTTACTGCATCATATTATAGTGTTACCCATTGGGGCGATGAGCTCTGATTATGGAATGGTATCATGCTATTAAGGATAGCTGCCTGGTAGTATATTTGAAGGTTGGGTGCATTCATCCCGCACTCAGGTGTTTTTTGATAGTGGATATGTGCTTTCACCCTTGGTATCTTGTAGTCCCAAGTGAATTGGTTAATTAATTATTGTGCTTCCTTAAAATATGCATTCGGGAGGTGAATGGGTAAAAAAAAATAGATAAAAAAATAAAAATAATACCTCCATTAGAGAGGCCTAAATACAAGCCCACGACACCATAAGGGGAAATATGCATTCGGGAGGTGAATGGCGTTCGCAAAAAGTATTGGAATTTGGGGATTATTATCATTTTTATGGCAGCTAGTCTGCCGGTCCATGATAAGTATTTTTTGCGCCAGCTAGTTAACGTGGCTCTAGTTTCTCTCAAGAGTTTCTGGTAGTTGGCTTTATATAGGCCGGGGGTGGTGAGTGTGAGGATTAGTCCTAAAAAGGTGAGATTATCCGATTTCCACTCAAAGCCATGACGATTTTGCAGGATTAGCAGTTGGTGTTTTTGCATGTTTATGCCTAAGGCTTGTGTCTTGGCCAAATAGAGTTTATAATAGGAACATCTACTATATTCCTGTAAGATTCTGAGGAATATTGGGGTAGAGCTGTGGGGATTCGTGAGCATGAGCAGAATATCATCTGCGAACAGTGTAAGCTTGTACTCGGCTGATCTGACCTTAATGCCATGGATATCTGAATTCTGTCTGATGAGTGTTGTGAGTGGTTCCAGTAACAGCGGTGAAAGGGGGCAGCCCTGTCTAGAGCCATTAGAAATCTCAAACAAAGTGGATGTGAATCCTCCTCCTGCTACTTTGGCTATCAGGTTGCTGTACAAGGCCTGGACTACCAAAATAAACGTGTCTGGAAATCCATATTTCCTCAGGACCGCAAGGAGGAATGGCCAGTGCAGCCGGTCAAATGCTTTTTCGGTGTCTAATGAGAGGAATACACTGAGCTCACCCCTCCTCAGCGTTTGCATTAAGTTTAGTACTTTGCACGTACTGTCACTTCCCTGTCTCCCCTTGATGAACCCTACTTGATCTTGGTGTATGATTGTCGGGAGAATGTTGGATAGCCTGTTCGCATATATTTTTGCAAATATTTTTATGTCCGTGTTTAACAGCGAAATTGTGCGTAAGTTTTGCACTTTATTTGGAATTTTTCTGGGTTTGGGGAGGGTCTTAAAGTGTGCCATAAGCATGTCTGCAGGTGTATTACCCTGTGTTATCATTGTAGCGTAGGTTTGGAGGAGTTGTGGAGTTAGGGTGTGTGCGTATGTTTTATAAAAAAAATGTTTGGGAAGCCATCTGGGCCTGCTGATTTTCCCAAGGGAAGTGATACTATCATTTGGATGATCTCTTGTTCTGAGATAGGGGCTTGTAAGGTGTCCGCGTGGTTTTGGGTAATGGGTGGTAGTGAGATTTTCGCTAAGAGGGACTGTATCTCAGGTGTGGTGGGTTGGTGAGTCTGGGTGTCAGTTTTCAGGTTGTATAATGTAGTGTAGTATTTGGCTAGTTCATCGACTATGTCTTGTGGGTTGTATAGCTTTTTCCACCTCTATGTTTAAAATATATGGAATTTTGCTTTGCCCATATTTAAGCCGTAATTGTGCAGCAAGTAGCCTGCCTGTTTTGTTGTTCTGGTGGTAGTTTTGGGTTTTGAGTTTTTGCATCATATATGTCGTTTTAGACATTGCCATTGTGTTTAATTGGTAAGTAAGATTTTCAATTTTCTCTAAATAGGGCTTCAGTGGGTTGTATGTAGTGTTGTACTGTGGCGTCTCTGAGGTCTCAAGATTGCTGTTTAGTCTTTTTGTGCTTGTTTTTAAGGTATGATGCTCGGTGTAAAGGATCCTTGCATTCGTGCAGCGATTATCCTTGCAGCTTCTCCCGAAATCCAACTGAAACGAAGTGATTATAACTCCCAATCCCCCAAACATGAGTCGAGACTTCATGAAGGGGTAAAACGATCTGATTTACTGTGGGCTACCCGCCCGGTATTTATGCAGGTCTTCCACCTGGTGGACACTCCCCTAGGGGACCAATCACAGTGGCTATAGCATAAGCACTCCCCTTTTACATAACTCACTCCCTCTTTTCCATCCTGGAGATAATTAACTTAAGGTAGCAAAGAGAGCCTTAATTATCTCCAGGAAGAAAGAAACATGGCTTTTCTTATTTAGCAAAACAGAATAAAAATATATAACTTTCTTTTTACACAACATAAACTTTAAGTTCTACATATCCCCAGATAGCTTGGATCTGAGGGCATATTCCAGGCGAATAGCGCTCAGATCCCACGAACACAGTTCTCAGAATCGTCGACCGAAGTTTGACTTTCACCGGCCGTTCGTGTGTTTGCAGCCGACTGCAAGTTCCATACTATAGCTATCTGGGGTCGGTCACTTTCGCATACTTTCAGCGCACGAATGAAGTAGTACCCCTTCATTCGTGTGTTTTTCCACCGTATGAACGAGGATGAGCAAAGGTAGCAGCGGTGTTCAACAAAATAGGTAGCCGAAATCAGTTCCAGGGAATCCTCACCATTTACCGCTGTGCGTTCGACAATACAAAATGGCGATTGCCACGTGTTCGGTAGACGAACGTGGACCACCAGCTATTCCCCAATTAGTCTGTGGTTAACCGCAACAGTCAGGGTGGTCAATAGGCGCCACACAACCTCAGTGGGAGGTCGGTGGTTCAGTAGTTCATTCGAATTTTCTTGTTATTTCCACGAAATCCCGCTGTAATCCTCCAAATAACCGAACAGGCTTGTTCGTATAGTCTGTAAATAGGGGATTTCGTTACACTCGGCTTAAAAAGAAGCCTTGCAAAACCGATTTATGAGCCTGCCAGATCATTAGAGGGGAGGTCTCTTTGTTGTCATTTGTGGCAGAGTATTCTGTGAGCTCTGTTTGGTTGACACTTTGCTGAAGGCATCATTCCGCAGCAGAGATTTGTTCAGCCGTCAAGGAGCGTAACCTCTGGATGCAAACTGTGTCGATATGATCTATCCTCGAGTGTGTCTTGTGGACCTGAGAGTAGTGAATATAGTGACGGTCTGTTGGGTGTAGAGCCCTCCATGTGTCATAGAGGCTGAACTCAAGTATCAGCTTTGTTAAGGCTTGGCAGGGTTGCTTAAGATGTTGTTGGTGGGAGTTTGAAGTGAGCAGGGATGTTTCTAAGGTGTGGTCTAATATATGGTTTAGATCTCCGCATATCATTGTGTGCTCAGTTCTGATGTGTTCGAGTTTAGAGAGAACCTTGTGGAGAAAGTTCCTTTTTTGGGTATTGGGACTGTATACGTTCACGATGGTGAATCACTATCCGTGATTAGTTTAAGTAGTTCAAAGGAAAGGGATTTGTGAATAAGTAGAGACGCCTCTGGCTTTAGAGGTATGTGAAGCGTGGAATAGTATGGGATAGTCATTGAGGCCAAATTTGGGGATGCAGAGTTTTACAAAATGTGTCTCTTTTATGCATACTAAATCTGCGGAAACCCGCTTGAGGTCTTCTAGTAATTTGCGGCGCTTGTGTGGGGTGTTAAGACCCCTTGCATTGTGTGAGTAAATTTTCATATTTGGAGGAGCCTGCATGGGAGATGGCGTCCTCAAAGCCATTTGGGTGAGCCTTGGAGGTCTAGCTTCCCACTGAGGGATAATTTTGGTGATGTGGTTAAGTCAGTGTAGGTAGGAAAGTGATAGGATGCTGGTCTTGTGCTCTCTAGGGATAAGGGGTGTAACCTTGAGGGCAGGAGTTGGAGGGACATGTGAAACCAGGGAAGGAATAGGAACAATATATACATAGTTCCCCGCCAAGGGGGAATGGTGCATGTGGGGTGCACCTCGGGGTTGTCCGTACTACTTATACGGCACATGTGGCTACCTGGGCATTGTGGTAGCTTACCTGTACAACTTGGAGAACGCATAATAATTGGAGTTAAACAATGAACATAAAACCAACATATTCAATACTGTTTGCATATATTATACATACATATACTTATAATCACGTGAGCTTTGCATCCCTCCTACCCCAATGTATTTGTGGTTTGTGAGCTAAGCTGACTACCTTATCGAGGTTTCAAGTTTCCCGGGTTATGCCTGTTCGTGGGAGCCATAGGGTTTCCCCTTATGGGGTCGTGGGCTTGTATTTAGGCCTCTCTAATGGAGGTATTATTTTTATTTTTTTATCTATTTTTTTTAACAAGCTATATGCTGCAATGGCCTCCCTCCCTCACCTTGGGTGGGTGACCCCACGGCCCCTTAGTGTCCCGGGCCTCTTCTGTTTTATCCCCAGTTTACCTCATATGTACCAAGATTGCCCTTGAGAATTGTAGGCTTCACGGCATCAGACCGTATATTATCTGCCAGGCATCTCTGGTGTGAGTGAGGTTCCTGATCTGTGTGTCATGTGTGGCATACTTTGATAGTTTTTAGTCTCCAGTGGAGGGCATAGGCCTTGTGTGTGTAGGAGCATCGGGGATGCTACGGTTGCAATACTTGCGTGTCTGGCAACCTGAATGATCCTCATCGGAGGTGGAGAAGGCGCAACACTCAGTCCTGGTCTTTAGGCTGTAGGTGAGGATAAGGATGGTGGATGTTTTGCATGGGAGAGTTGTAGGCCCCATGTTTGTATAGCTTTCATGCCATCCGCTGGTGTGGTCAGGGGGGTGAATTCTCCATTTCACCACATGAGGAGTTTGGTGGGATAGCCCAATCGGTATCTGATATTGTGGTCTTGGAGGGTCGCTGTTACTTGATGGAAGGCCTTCCTTTTCTTCAAAGTTGCTGTAGACAGGTCCACGAATATCTTTACGTCTGCATAGTTGGATGGTAGACTTGCTGTGTGGCTGTTCTTCAGTATTACATCCTTTACGTGGAAGTAATGAGCTCGTAGCATCACATCTGTCGGTATGGTAGCTGCCAGGTGTTTTGGTCGTGGGATCCTGTGGACCCGGTCGAGGAGCAGCATGTCGGTCGGGATGTCTGGTGCTATTACATTGAAGACGTCACGGACAGGGCCGGTGCAAGGATTTTTGCTGCCCTAGGCAAAGGTAAAGTTTGCCGCACCCCCCATGTGACATCACAATGCCCCACTCATATGATCTGCCATGTTAACTAACGCCCGTGCTGCAGTGCCGCCGTGTTTACATTAAAAGGCCTGCAGGGACAGGCTATAGACACCAGAACAACTACATTAAGCTGCAGTGGTTCTGGGGACTATAGTGTTTCTTTAATGTGAGGTAAATTAGAGATTAGTGCCATGAATAATATACTAGATTGCCTACTTACAACCAGATGAGGATTATGATGGGCTCTAGCTGCAGTCTGGCTCTACTGGTCTGGTGTAGAACAGGATCTCTGGAACCTGTTTGAAACTGTGGTCACAAAATCAATGTTCTGGGAGAACGGGAAGCAGCTCCATTTTTTGGGGGCCCTTTACACGGCTCATGGTCTGGGTCCCAGGGTCCACCTTCATGTTCCACCAATGAGTTTGTTCACAGGGGGTGGAGTGTGTAGGGGATGTCCTGATATGTGTGTAAGGCATGCATTGTGTGAATCTGTGTTTGTATGTGTAAGGGCTGCAAGGTGTGTTTCTGTGTATGTACGGGATGCGGTGTTTGCGTCTGTAAGACGTGCATTGAGTGTGTGTAAGGGGTGCATTGAGTGTGTGTAAGGAATGCATTGTGTGTATCGGTGTGTGTAAGGGTTGCATTGCTTGTGTTTGTGTGCCTGTGTGTGTATTGCATTGTGTGTGTAATGCATTGTGTGTTTTTCTGTGTGCAAGGGGTGTCTTTGTGTGTAAGGGGTGCATTGTGTGTGATTGTGTGTGTGTGTGATGGATGTCAATCTCTCCCCCCTCCCTTGTCACTCTCTTCTCCCCCCTCTCCCTCCCTTGTCACTCTCTTCTCCCCCCTCTCCCTCCCATGTCACTCTCTTCTCCTCTCTCCCTCCCTTGTCACATTCTTCTCCCTTGTCACTCTCTTCTCCCCTTACTTCCTTCACCTCCCTCCCCACTCTCATTCCCTCCTCCCTACACTCTGTCAAGTTCTTCTCTCTGACAATTCCTCCCCAACAATGTCTTTCTCCCCTGTCAACGTCTTTTCTCCCCTCCCCTGCTACCACAATTTCTTTTCCTCCCTGCGCTCTGTCAATGTCTTTTCCCCCATCACTTATTTCTCCCATCAATTTCTCCCCTGTCAATTTCTTTCTCCTCCACTATCTCTGTTGTAGCGTGGTTGAGCTCTGTATGGTCCACGGTTACAGGGAGCTTTTGTTTCCTGTACCCGGCCGGACTAAAAGGAAGTGCACACTCAGTGTCAGTCCTGCCGGGTACAGGAGACAGATGCTCCCTGTACCCGCGGACCATACAGAGCATGGCCACGCTACAGTGAGGGAGTGACAGGAGGGAGCGCTGAGCGCTTCCCTCCAGTCAGCCCCTCTCCTCATGCTGCGCACTCATGGACGCACCAGCCCGGGTGGCTGCAGCATGAGGGGGGCCGGCGGGTTTCTGTGCGAAGAATTTTAATTTTGCATCCTTGGATGTGTTCTTCTTTTGTTTGCCTTGCGACATGATCAAGTTGGCTATGTTTCCTGTTGGGTTTGCTTCTCAATATTGCTGAATTATAGAACCCATGTGCCGGAGCAAAGATTTAAGCGGCCATTTTGCTTGGCCATTAGCCACGCCCCCCATTTGCTGTTTTAAAAAAAATAATATTTAGTGACTCCATATTTCACATAACATTTTCAATCTATATCCTTCACCTTTAATTAAAGCTTTCAATTACCTCTTATAATGTTTTTTCCCCACACATTTGTACATTAATAATAATCCCTTTAATTGCCAGCACTGCAATATAAATCCAGTGCCTATTTCATCTCTATTTAAAAGTGTGCAGCATCATACAATAAACTCAGATTATGCCTTTGCTAGTAATCAATTATAGATTGTACTTTAATATATTTAGTAGGTATATTCCCTTTTTAACTCTAATGATAATATCTGTTCTTAAAAACTGAGTGCTAATGAATTTGATTCGTTGATTGCACATTGTGATTTTTTATGAAGCATTGTCAATAATCTCCAACAGTAACTATTAATCATTTCTGGCATTTCACATAAGGTAAATGTACCATAGCTTTTCACATTTCTGATGCCTTTAATTGCACTGTGTCCTTTTTTGAACTTTGTAGGTATTTTTTTTGCAGATGAATAATATTGGTTTTATATGATAGTATTCATTAATTGTTTTGCAACAAGCCTTAGAAGATGAAAACATGTGAAACACGGGAAACGGACATATGAAATTAGCATGTAGATTTCTGTACAGATATATCATAACTAAGAAATAATGTATTGAAATTTATTTATTTATTCATTTAAACTTTGCTGAAACTTTGGCTCAGTTTTTTTTTTTTTTTTTATATTCTGTATTTTTATTGAGGTATAAGATGATACGGAGTACAGTAACATTTCTGTATTACACATAGAAACAAGAAATAAAATCAGCACATCACAGAGTAATTACCTCTTTTTCTTATTTTATGGCATTATGTTATTCAAATAGTTGCCCTGTAAGATAGTTACTTAGAAGAGAACCTGATCTATTACTGTAATGTGGATGTGTGAAAGCTAAGCCTAAAATCCACAGTGTTGCATGGTGCTGCACGGTAGTAGGAAAGCTCTGAATACTAGAGTGATGTAGAGGAGTGGCATTCGGTTGAAAAGTGCAACTCCACCTGTTGTCAGAAACAATAAGTTTAATGATCCGAAAAGCATTAATGAGAGATTTATGCAGGTGGAGATATGGCAGGCATGGGTGGTGTTAATGTGCCCTCTGTGCTAGATAGGATAGCTGTTATGCGTTCACAGGTAGATGCTTATTAAAGGGACACTATTGTCACCAGAACAACTACAGCTTAAGGTAGTTGTTCTGGTGAGTATAATAGCTCCCTTCAGGCATTTTCATGCAAACACTGCCTTTTCAGAGACACCTCCAAGTGGCCACTCCTTAGATGGCCACTGGAGGTGCTTCCTGGCTCAGGGCTGCACAGTTAGCATCTCTGCTGTTCAGTGTCCCCACGCTCTGCATGGAGATGCTGACTTTTCCTCATAGAGATGCATTGATTCAATGCATCTCTATAAACAGGTCCTGATTGGCCAAAACGGTAATTGGCCCCGCCCAGTGCCGATTTTAGCCAATCCAATGCTTTCCCTATGGATTGGCTAAAAATCGGCTATGTTGATGATGTCACAAAGGGGGTGGAGCCAGCACCTGCAGACCCTTGTGGCGCTGGAAATAAGGTGAGTTTTAAAAGGTTTTATAGGTGGGCTAAGGGCGGGCAAGCCACCTAAATGATGGGTTTAGCACTATAGGGTCAGGAATACATGTTTGTGTTCCTTACCCTATAGTGATCCTTTAAGAAATCAAGCTTTATTGTGTTATGTCAGGCTAAGCTCAGTGAAGTATGTGTATTGCCCCTAACCAAGGGAGCATTGGGGGGAGAGGGGGAGAGAGGGATTCTCTTTAATCGTGGTGGATACAGCCGACTAAAGTAGTACATCTTAGTACGGAAGATAAGGACCTAATGTGTGAGCAATCATTGACTGGCTGCACACAAAATGTAATAGTTCTTAAAAACACCTGAGTTGGGCAAAATTAGTGGAAATTGTCTTACAGTATATGATCATATATTGTACAGGCCTTGGTTTACGAAAAATGTTCAAATTTTTCTTAAAAATAAAGATTGCAGGATTTTTTTTCTGTTTTATACTTTCAAAAAAATATTCAAGTTAAAAGATAAAAGTGACATGCTTCTAAATAATTCATAGAAATATCACTTTGACTTTATTTTATGAACCATTTTCTTTTTTAATGGGGAATTTGCAGTTTTGCAGATGTCATTTGATGAGTTAGGACTGCATGATGGCATGATGGCATGGCTGATTTTTCATAAAATATTGCATTTAACATAAGGGGTTATGTTTTCCTCTTTGTACAGTATTTAAACTAAAAAAAAAAGAGCACAAAAGTCATAACATATAAAAAATGTTACTCATTTGGACTAGAGCTGTAGACAAAATCTGTAATAAATGTTTGTATATACAACACACTCTGGTTTCAGACTGACTGACTTTAGTGTATTCCTGATAAATACCTCCAAAGTAAAAAACAAGGCCAAGGACAAAATGAAGGACTCACATGGATGCCTTTTCAAACACAATCAAATGCTATCACAATAAAAGCAGCTCACATTAAATTGGAGAACTATTTGCAATATGTAAACCTCACATCAAAGCATATAACAAGATCTCCAAGAGGAGAAACTTTCACGTTTACAAATATACTGCCCTATCTCATTCCTGCCTTTGGTGGTATTATTAATTATTAGAGAGCCTAGCTCTGATCTAAGTGACTGGGCATTATTTGTGGCGTGGGTTTCTCTTTCAATTATTTGTTTACTTATAACAAAACCATTTTGACTTTTGTTCTCCCTTAGTCTAAATGCTGCAAAAAGAGAAAGGAGGTCTTGTGTAGTCAACGCCATAACTGAGAGCTGTTTTCGGCAGCATGGGGGGGAAGGTTTGGGGATTGAGGCCCTGGATGTGAGGCCTATTAGTCCTGGATCTCTACAGGTGCTGAAAGGTGTAGGATAATATTAATGTTTTTTTTTTTTTTCTTCATGCTAATATTACATCAGACAGTTGCTTGTCAAAGCAGCCACCTATTTAAAAAAAGAAAGCTGTTGGTGCCAGTAGCAGAACAACGGGGGTCACTAAGGTCAAGAGTGTGATTGGGCCCTTTGTGTTCTGCCTTTCATATGGGGCCCATGAGTTGGCAATCTGGCTTCCTTTGGCTCCCCATGAAGAGAGTGGCTATGTGGTTAGGCATTCCTGGGTGGCAGGTGCTTATTCTGCCAAAATATACTGTGTCCAGTGTGTGGATTAGTGTGTGTCAGTATCAGTGAGAT